TGGAGTAAATCCATCTGTTTTTGTTGTTATTCACGTTTATATTTTTGTTTAGTTTACACTGATATCATTTTTTAGGATTCTTCTAAAGATTCTTTTGGGAAATACGTCTTCTCACTTTAACATGTCGTCTATCACACAAAAGTTATACTCACAAAGGTTCTGATGCTAACACTATGTTTGACTATTATTCCTTTAGCATGTCAGAGTGTCCATTATGGTGAGTCTTTTTATCATAAAAGTAAAAAATAATCTTTTAAAAACTTTCCATAACGAACAAGTGAAATGACATTTCATTTTGGAAACATGTTCCAGAGCTCAGCCTGAACCCCAAGAAAACCTACGAGTACAAATATGAAGGAGGGGTGAATTTTGGACTCGGCATACCAAACCTTGCAGAATCCGGTGTGAGAATGACGTGCAAGGTCAAGATCGTCGGTGTGTCTGCACAAACATTCATCCTCCAGGTGAGAGTCAAACTTTATCAGAATATGTTGTTTAAAGATGTTATAAGTACTGTTACTGAGTAATGCAGCATAATCACTGACATGCTGTTAATTACTTAATTTTATTGATTCATAAATCAAGTAATTGGCAGACCATGATTTGTCATTTATCATTTATTATCATAAATTATTTGGAGGCCAATTTAATAAAACATCTGTTGAAAGGTTATACAGACTGAAGCCTCTGATCTGTCCCAAAATAACTATGGAGTAAAATAATGTTAGTTTTGTGTTAACTGCTGAATAAGTGTTCAGAGATTGTTTCATACAAATGTTGCACTTCAACAGTTATGCCTTTGTTTCTATCTTCTATAATGCAACAGTCATCCTCCGGTACCTTTATGTCTTCAGTCATAAACAGATGCTGCATTCAAACTCTGTTGCAAACATTATATCTAGTAAAGTAAGGTTTAACAATCCAGTAACACAGTTGAGCAGAGAATGAGACCGTTTTCACGTTGACTGCTCATGAATGTGCTACACAAGCAATAAAACTGCTTATTTCCATCCCTCGTTCAAAGGCTTCAAATTTGGTCTTTGAGGAGTTCAACGGCTTCCCGGGGAAAAACACCTATAACGCCTCCCCAAAGCTCACTCAGCGTATTGCTGCCCAGCTCATCAAACCCTTCATGTTCAACTACACCTGCGGACATGTCAGTGACATCCATGCCTCTGCTGAGATTTCTGACACTGTTGTCAACATTGTGAGAGGGATCCTGGGTTTCTTCCAAGTCACTGTTAAGACAACACAAAGGATCTATGAGCTTGAAGAGGTAAGTCACTGCTTTCCAATAAGCTACTCTCTGCAGAGTCTTCATTTATTCAGCTAGGCCTGCCCACAGGAATGGCTGGGCCCCTGAAAATCTCCAGTGAGTAGGCCCTCCCCATATCTGCTTAACTTATGAACACATAACAACATGTGATGGGGACTACATAGGGATAGGCACACACGGGTGGGGGTGGCACTGGG